CATGGTTGTGACGGAGGTGATCCTACAGCTGCTTATTCTTATATTTATGAAAATGGTGTACCGGATGAGACATGCACCAACTACCTGGCAAAGACCCAGTCTTGTGAGCCAGAGAATGTTTGCCGTAACTGTGACCCATCAGGGAAGTGTTTCGCTGTACAGAAATACACCAAAGTAAGTACTAGTACGTACAACAGGTAGTATTAGGAGGAGGAGGAATGAGGGGAATTTTGTACCATTTTGTGCATGCTCAGCCACAAATTTTAACTAGCCACTTATCAAATATTTACCTAATTGTGTTACTGTATCAATTGCTCCTATAGTATCAGGTGACAGAACATGGTAGAGTATCAGGAGAGGATAAGATGTTGAGTGAGATCTTTGCACGAGGCCCCATTGCCTGTACTATAGCAGTGACTGCAGCCTTTGAACAATACACTGGAGGAGTCTTTAATGACACTACTGGAGCTAAAGTACAACTAATAATGTACTTAATGTATTACCTATTGCCTGTCTATCTATTGTATAGTCACTGGATCATGAGATATCCATTGCTGGTTGGGGAGTTACTAGTGGAGGAGTTAAATACTGGATTGGACGCAACTCATGTATGCACATTATCATAATAATACACCTACCGCTATATGTATATACTGTTGAATACAAAACTTTTGCTGTTTTTCTGATTAACAAATGAGTAAAATCACATTTATTTTCATTTATAATTCATAACAGTTAACAATATAATTATACATTATCTCTCTCTCTCTCTGTTACTGTAGGGGGTACCTATTGGGGTGAAGCTGGCTGGTTTAGGTTGATAAGAGGAGTTGATAATCTTGGGGTTGAGTCCAACTGTGACTGGGCTGTCCCTGCTGCTATTCACTAACTACTGAACTCCTACAGCTGCTTACCATTGTATTATTGTATATTTTGTGTAGTTCCCTTTTGTTATTTATTGCTGGCTCAGCTGTTTGCTTTGATCTTTACCTTATAAGCTCCAGGTCCACGTGTAGGCACGTGGTTTTTGTATATGAATGTACACGTCCGTAAAATCAATTTCAATCACGTGATACTGCGCGAGGCATGCCCAGTACTGCACGTGGCAGGCAAGGTTACTATTCCCGCCATCTTCATAATTTGAAAAGAAGATGAGTAAGTCGAGGCGTAAGTTCTCTCATTATCCCTTCCTGCTAAGTTCCTGGCCTCCTCTCTCTCTCTCTCTTACTAACAGCCTTCATTGGTAAATATCTACTGATCTAACCTCTTCCTTTTTAGTATTCGCCATTTATCACCACTCCTCCACCATACCTCCAGTATCCTCAGTGTCTGGTAA